GAAAAAAGCCTGGCCCCATCCTCCTGACACCCACCCTTCAAGTATTTATAGGCCTTGATCAGATCCCCCCTCAGTCTTCTCTTCTCCAGACTCAAAAGCCCCAAGTCCCTCAGCCTTTCCTTGTAAGAGAGATCTTCTAGTCTCCTAATCGTCTTCCTAGCCCTTTGCCGTACCCTCTTCAGCAGTCCCCTTTCCATCTTGACCTTCAAACTGCATTGCTTCATCTGCCAAGTCTGTTGGGAGGATTAATGGATTAAATGACTGTGGGATACTTGGACAGCAGAGTAACGGGAGTCACAGAAATGCCTAAATTGCAACGGAAAGGTCTAAGCCCGGGTGAGAATGAGCAGCTCCTATTAACACTCCGTGTGCTGCTGCAGTGCTAGGAGCTCACCCACTCCCAAACCAGCCCTGCCACGACTTCTCAACCCCAGGAGCAGGCAGGCAGTGACAAGCCGTGGCACCATACAGTGGAGAGGAAGGACCTCACTTGTGGGGACAGGGGACGTGTCCCTATCAAATGCAGGCACAGGGAAGGGGCTAGGAGAAAGCACAAGGCAGCAGAGCTCTCTCCTCCTCTTTCACACAAGAATTTTGCCCTCCCTGGATGACAAGCAAAAGTTGTTGTTTAAAAGGCAAGGAGGACTTTAGGACAACAACAAAATAGCAATGAGACAGAGTAAGAAAAATTGTCAGGATGAAACCATCAGGATCCAGCACAGAGACATAGAAAAGGATATGATGACATTAACTTAATAAATCTCTTCAGATTTCAAGTAAACACCCACAGAATTTTCCAGCCTATTCCCTCTGCTCCAACTCAACCACTAAAAAAAAGCTGACAGAAATAAAGCAGGTTTGCAATTTCTCTCTTCCTAGCCCCAAAAATGCTGTGCAGTGTAAAAAGGTGACCACCTCCTTGTCCTAAAGGTCACTAAAGGCTGATAGAAGTGTGCTAGTTCCTCCAGCTTCACCCCGAGTAGACTACATGGAGAAATTCTCCTCCTCTCCTCAACGCTTTCCTCTCGACTGGTTCTTTCACAGCCTCATCACCTCCCAGAACAAACAGCAGAGAAATTCTGCTCGGTCCTGCACTGCAAATGTCCAGTGGAAATGGGGTGTTAATGGTAAAGACAGTGTTTTTTTCCGGCAGCATTTATCTGAGTCCGAATGCTTACAGACATAGCCCTGAGCAATACCCAAGAGGAAAGATATGAATATTTAAATAGTTTTCTTAACACAGAATTAAATACTTTAACTATCCAGACTACGTCTCTGCCATTTTATTACCAGGTTGTTAAATGCAGCAGGACAGAATGCCGACACCAAAGCTAGAAACCAGCGGAGGGTTCTGGGAGAACACACCGTCACCAGACCCAGGTGCTCACACAGAATCACAGAATGCTTTGGGTTGGAAGGGACCTTAAAGATCATTGAGTTCCAACCCCCCCTGCCATGGGCAGGGACACCTCCCACCAGACCAGGCTGCTCAAAGCCCAGTATATATTATATTTCTATCAGGACAGCAAATTCTTTGATTTTCTTCAAGTGATCCCATCTTTTTTTTGTGTTCTTTAAGTGATCTCTGCGTTGAGAGATCTTACAGGCAAAGGAAAATCTCACCTGCAGTTTTCAAGTACAATAGCAACGTTAAAAATAAAGGTGCAAACAGCAGAAGACAAGGATAATTTTATAAATTATCAGAGGCCACATTTCCAGCAGGTACAAGAAGCCACAGAGAAGCTAAACGAGCTTGCAAATAAAACCAGCTCTCATTTAACAGCGATTTCCACGAGAAGAACATGGAAACCAAACACAATTTACACACACCACTGCATAGCACTGCTGTGGGTGGTGGTTTGATGCTATTAATGTGTTAACGCCCCAAATGCGCTCAGTTCCAAATGCAAGACCCAAAAAAAGGTGACTTTCAAGTTAACTCCAGGTAATGTGACAGGAGCATTTTCTAGAGAGACACAGCGTCACCTTCCACATTTCACTCGTCAGCTCCCTGCTGAAATGGGGATGAATTTTCTCCTTTGTAAAAAAGGTTGAGAAGATTTAAAAGCCAAGGGCTCCTCACTTACCCACAGATGGTGCAAAGCAGAATGAGAAGCCCCTCGACGTGTGGGAGTGACAATGACCCTGGCAGCGTGTTCCTGTCCTCGGCAGCTTTAAGGATGGGACAGAGAACCATCCCCATGGCCGCTCACAGCCTGGCCAGACTGGGATATAAACCTGTTACCTGCCTGCTCTTTGCTCCCTCCTACAGCCCCAGGTCTCTTCAAGCTGTGATAAATCCACCAACACCATTTTAACTTCTCCTCCACCTTCCTTTAGTTGGATTTTCCCCCCAGCTCCTCCCTATCCAGCATCTCCACAAGCAGTTAATAACTTGGGAAACCTGAAAAACCAAGTATTTTCTAATACCTGACCTAAAATAATAGGCCCATCCGGCAGCAAGAGACTGAAACAGGCCCTATCTCTTTTACTAGAACTGCTCTAGAGGACAAACCACACTTATCTCAGATTTTACACGTATTTGCTTTACAAATAAAGCAATTTTTTTTTTGTTTTATTAGCTGTGGAGGAGGGGTGGTTTTTTGGTAAATCTAAATCTGTAAATAGGTTTTACGGTCACTTGTATATGTTGTTTATAGCACATTATGTGTTTTCTATTTTAATCCTGAAGAAAATTGACCACTACTTTGCGGTACACTGAAACCACATATTTTTCAAGCCGACATGTACAGTAGCCACTTCCTTGGTCGGCCGTATGTGTTCTTTTCTTTTATTTGAATTGTATTTCATGTGGTTTAATTGCAGTATTTATTTACATTGCAATGACAGAGCATTAATTTTACTGGAGAAGAACAAAAGGATAAATGAGTGACCTGAATGGCAAAACTCCAAGATGCCATTTTGCCAATACCACACATCACTGTTTTGATCTACACAAATTATTTGAAAATTACCTCACTCCCAAACCCAAGTAATGACTGAATTTATACTGAAGGATGAGGTTATCCTCCTTTCATTAATATCTGTATCACCTCAGGCAGCTCTTCTCCTTTATTTATGAAGCTGTCTACATCTTTCGATATTTGAGATAAAGATGGGAGTCATTCTCAGAGTCCTCACACTTTCTGGTTTCCCTGAACTTAGCCTGTACGATGCTGCAGAAAGGGGAAAAAGCATATTTTCTTTAAATAATAGGAAAATGCTGTCTGTGTTCCCATCTCTTCCTGCAATCCAGGGAGATGCAACATTCGTCAGCTTGCAGCAATGGGTTTTGGTCGACTGACTTACCTCAGGGGTACTGGTGGTACTGGGTTTTCTCCCTGGAGTTTTTAATGAAGGAACTGGGAGGACTAACAGTTTCTGAACTCTTCAAGCAACTATAATAAACCAGCACGAGGGCATTTTGAGTTAGTGCTGGTCAAACACTTCAGTCCCACAGGAGTAAGGAGGATAAGTTAGCAAATGGCAGAAGAGCCTGACATTCAGTTTGGGCAGGTTTTATTGTGTCTATCTTGGATTACTGCGAGCCAGGTAACTCCACAGTGCTCCATCCACATAGAGCCTCACAGGAAACCAAGTGCAAAAGTGGAGAGTTTTAAAAACTAGCGTTTAAAAAGCCCTCACACCATCAATGTTAGGAAAATACTAATGGAGATGTTGTCGGACCTCTTCAGACTTCGTAAAGAAGCAAAAGGTGGGTGCAAACACACTTTTTCCTTTTTATTTAATACTGAACTGGGGGTCCTATCTGGGCAGACACCTGCAGAGCTGTGACAGCCAGGCACAGAGAAGCTGATCTCTGTGTGGTGCTGTGTTACAGACAGACAGAGAGCAAGGGAGATGCCTGGATCACTCCTGCTCTGTAACACAACATTCATTGCATGTTGGAGAGCTCTTACTGTGCCTTCTACCTTGCACCAATCTATGTGAGATTTCTCCTGGAAACTCGCTTTTTAATTGCCAGGGTAATTAAAAAGTCCTCCATCAATAGGAGATTGATAGTTCCGCATCCCTGTGTGTGCAGTTCAACTTTATGGCGGCTTCACGAAAAATCTAATAATTGTTCATTTTGTTTTCTTTTATTTAACACATGCCTAGCACATCCCATCACCCCTGGGCAGCACCATGGTGAAAGGACTCTCTCAAACAGCCCATCTCAAGAGGAAAAATCAAAACAGGTCTTTCTACTCCTTAAACACAGGCCAAATAAATTCTCCAACATCTCTAGAGCCACCTAAAGATGACTATGAAGTAGCCTGCCTTCAAAAACCTCCAAGAAGCTGGTTAAGGTCACCGCCATCGCTGTACCCCAAGAAGTGAACCCAAAACCAGTAAAATACACACCAAAACAGACACCCAGCTTCCCATTTCCTTACAAATGACTTCCCTGGGCAGCTTGAAAAGCCACAGCAGAAGTGCCACCAACCTCAGCAGACCTAAGTCAAAGACCCTGGCAACGCAACTGAGAACACACCTCTCCCCTTTCAACAATCTGACAACAACCACCCACCCACAAATAACAGCAAAAACCACAGATATGTGTCTTACTGAAGACTGGGAAGGACGCATTTCCTTTCAACACCTGGAACTCCTGTTCTAGTCTCCTCCGTAAGTCGATTTGTTCAAACAAAACCTTCTGGAGTTCCTCTAACAAAGAGAAAAGAAAAGTGGCTTTGCTAATCTGTATAAATAATTCTTGAAAGAACAGTTGCAGAGCAATTCATTACCGTAAGACAAAATATTTTAGCAGTTATAAAAAAAAAAAAAGAAGTGTTGCGTAGACCCACAATAGATTTTGTGCAGAAAGCCATGAATATAAATCAATGTAATATATTATTTTAAAGTATTATATTACAGTGTCATGTATTGATTGATATATATGCATTAATCTCAATTATACCCACCCAAAGGTCCATATATTATTCATATGTTACTTGACAAGCTTAAAATATGGTGCAGAACAAAAGTGCCCCCTATTATCCTCATATTCTATTAAAACAAAGAGCAGTTTTATAACGTAAGCGGCCCTTATTTATTTTACCTTTCCCCATGTTTTCCACATCCTTCTTCAGTGAATGAGGTGAATTGGTTTCTTGTGTGTGTTCTCCTTAAAAAGGAGAAAGAAAGAAGTTATTGATTTACCGATACTGCTTTTCATCAGTATTGTCCTTACTATGCAACTGCTTCAGAGAATGTAGAGTAAAAAGGAGAAAAAAAAAAAAACTACAGAAGAGTAAGATTAAGGTTTATCTACAAATTTCTGCGTGTGTAGCACAAATGTTTGCAGGACTGTTATTTGCTTCTAGTTAAGTATCTCCCTATACCGTGTCCTCCTGCAGATGAGACCTGACATCTCCTCCATACCTAGGAGTGCTGCTCTTACGTGTGTCTGACCCCTGCTTTTGCTCTGGCCCCCTCTTGAAGATGTTCTTATCAGAGAACAACTATGAACCAGCTGAGAAAGGGACAGAGCCTCCTCTCCAGTCTTATCTCTCAACTGGAAGGCGATGCCATCAGCTGGGCAGGACGCCGCTCCCAAATCTGCAGGCAAAACCCTTTTTGCACCAGCCTCTCTGCCTTCAACAGCTCTTTAACTTCATCACCTTCTAGAGCTCTACAGCATGGGCTTGTCTTAACTGGACATAATTTATATCCAGCTGAGATAAAATTGACATTACTGTTATTCGCATCTCAAGGATACAGCTCTAAGGTCAACCAATTCAGAGACTTCTGCCTTAGGTTGCTCACAGAACTTTTAATCATTTAGTAGTAAAGAATTTTTGAGATTAAAGAATTTAAATATTTCCAAATACATGTGTGCTACTTCTTTCAACCTTTTGCCTTTACAAATAAAATAAAGTGAATCTTCACAAGGTGTTAAGTTCAACTGGATGACAGTTTGACTTAAATATAAAACTTCTGGCAGAAGGTGTTATTCTAATTATCCTCTGGAACTGTGAAATTTTCCTCAAATTTCTATGAACATGGTTTTGAAACAAAAATCCATTAAAATAAGAAGTCTTTAAAAGAAAAAATACCACTTTAGTGGAAATCAATGGGAGATTTTCTATTATTTACAGCTGAAGTAGAAGTGGACTCTCAATAATTAAAAAAAAATATTTGGTAACTAACCAATTACTGAACTAACTGGACTAATTTTTGGTTTAGTCCAGCCAGTAAACACACATCATTAATTCTACTGATGAGTAATTACAAGGCATACATACATATAAAGCTACTCATGTGTTTATGTATTTGGAAGAAAGAGTGACAGAGGAAATACTTCGGGATTTTTTTTGAAAATAAAAAGCCATAACACTGAATAGGTCACCACACAACAGATAAGACAGCAGCTACTTAAAAACCTCGTACTTTCACCACATATTTAAGAGTAGAGCATCACAATAACTTAAAGTTGAATCGGAAAGTCTTGTTTTATATGCAGTCAGAAATCTTTTTTGCAAAACATTTCTTTCTGTTTTTAAAAATCAATGCATTCTTATATCCAGTAAACCTTGAAGTCATAGTATATGAAACCTATCCAATAGAGATGCATTTTAGCATCTGCTAGCTCGTTGCTCCTTAAAAAAACGCAAGCACTCATTCAGGCATATACATTTACACAACTCATATCTGGTGCCAGCAATTCCATTTAAAAAATCTGTTTATGTAACACAATGATTAAAAAAAAATAATCCATTTTTTAATGATATTTGCTATAAACAAAGTACTTCTACAGGTAAGTTGTCTCACCACACTAAAAGAAATAATAAGCTTAAAAATACATCAGCTTTTGGGCAGTGGTTGGCGGAGTTTCCACTCTGCCAAAAAGAGTAAACCACTTTTTTTTTTAGTTAACACAATTCTTTTTTAAACAGGATTGCTAATGAAGTATTTTGCTAGACAAATTTGAGGACATAAAATCAAACCCAAGGAATTTAGGTTTAGGAAGGGTATTTATTGAATTATAAATACAAGTATATTTTCCCAATCAATTTCTTTCATGGAGGCATTCTTTTCTAAATGTTTTATGTGCAATTTTGAAGGATAACTGGATTTTTCACAGGGGAGGAAGAAAAAGGGGAAGAGACTAGATCCTAGCACAGAGCATGGCAGCAACATAGCTCTTTCCCACTTGCTCAGTTGAGCTTTCGGCGCCGTACGGTTCGAGGCTGACGACTTGCTGGGACTGAAAAAACGGCATCAAAAAGAAAATAAGAGCATATAGCAGGAAGAATAACTTCTCCAGTATCTGCAGCCTCCCTGCTAGGCCTCCAAAAAGGCTTATGAGAAAACACCCCCATCCTCACCCCAAAAATAAGTAAACAGGATGGGAAAAGCGAAGGTATTTAAAGGCATAACATAGAACATACAGTTTTAAAGAATAACTGCATTTTTAAACTGCTTTCTGATGTTCAAAAAAAGCCTCAGTGTTATTACTGTTAACGGGAGTAATAATCAGATGGGTTTCACCTTTCCAGTCCCCCTGAAAATGATAATCAGGAGCCTGCTCTTGTCTGTTTTTCCATACTTCCCAGAGGCCTCATCATGCGTTGTGTACTGTTCTACCTTAATTGAAAGGGAGGAGGTATTGAATATTTAACCAGCTTCCTTTCTCTTAAATGTTAATTAAAAGCTAAATAGGTGTTTAAAAACAAACAAACAGAAAGCCCAAAGAATTTTAATCAGTCTAAGAAAAAATCACTTCCCCTTCTAATAGCTCCACCATAACTCTCTTGGGCCTTGTCTATACACAAACTTGCAGCAGCGTTTAAAACAGCAGCACTGAAAGCTGTGCAGCCCCCCCAGTACGGACACCTAGGTTTTCTTTAAAAAAGGTCTATTTCAGTGTATTCAGAAAAATCAAACTATACCTCAGCTGTCTATTAGCTAGGGGGGAAAGGGGGTGAAGTATTCACAGCCGGTTTTCAGTGCCTCAGCTAAAGCTTTTGGTACCTCCGTTCTTACCGAATTATCTCAGGTGCACAGACATTGTTAATCTGGAATCATGGTACACGGGTTGTATTTTACACAAATTTCTTCCTTAACCTGAAACGTGAACATCCACCCACGGAGGAAAGGAGAAATTATGCCCGCAAGTAGACACACCTCGAATTTATCAGTCCTCTGAAAACCAGAGGTCCCAATCCATATATTGACACAACCTCAGCTCTTGTGATACCGCCGTTTTAGCAGCTCCACGCCCACTGGAGTAGTTAAGATTTGAATTTTCAATAGAAGAAACGAATGGAAACATTTCTAAATTTATTTTCCCTGAAAGAAACGCACATTGCCCTTGTTGTACAAAACCCAACCAGACATAGCCAGGTTACCTCTTCATGCTGTGCCACCTCGAGCCACCTCCTGCAACCCTTCCTCAAGAAGCTCTCAAAACCTCCAAACACCAGCTAAAAATTTCCACACTCACCCAGACAACTCGGCTACGTCCATGGGCAACCAACTTGCCCAGCGCTGAGCTCCGATGGCCCGGGAACAGCTCTCTTGACTCTCAGCCCCGTGCCACGTCCCCTCCACAATTGGGCCACGACAACCCAAATCGTCTCAACATCGGCCTTATTATTCCTGGATTCTTATTATTCCTGGATGGTACCTAAATATGGCCAAGCACACCCTGCAGCTCACTCCTACCAGGTGAGCTCTGCCGCCGCGAAGCCCACAGCATCCATGGTCTACCATAACTTAAGCACCCACCGGTATTTTTAGCTGCAGAAAGCCCTGTCTGCAGACAGAAAGACTGCAGCGGTGAAGATGTGGGCATCTTCTGGCTATAAATACATGTGTGTGTGTATATATATATATATATATATATATATCCATTTTAAAAATATAAGGCAGATGTGAACGGCCAGACTTTCAGAGCTCCAAAGGCTCCATCTGTATTTGCGAGTAATTACTCGCTTTAAGACACGCGCGGTTCTCGCATATGTCCTGAAGAAATCCTACCCTTACTGAAAATATTCATGCATCGTGCACATACATGCTGCTTTTGGGGGGGAATAATCAATAGGATAATCAGGACTTGGGAAAATACGCCAATTTAACGAAATTCAATAAGCATCTTTTAAGTGCTTTCCTGCACTGGGGCAGATATACAAAATCTGGAGCGTCAAATGTTAAAGTTAAACCACTTTCAGGGCAAATTAAAACGAACTAGTTGTTCTTTTTGCACAGATAAATCTTCGTTTGTAACCTCCATTTAAGGTTTAAAACATGAACACCCAATTAAAAAAACATCGGCGCTGAAGT